TCTGGTTGTGCATGCCCCATGTATGCGGAGCAGATCCTCAGTGAGCGCTCCTGGCCTTCGAGGCTCACTGCGGTGTGGTCTTCATTGCTGAAATTTGGGAGCAAAAATAAGTGCAACTCTCTTTTTGCAAGAATGCAGGTACGAATTTTACCTGCGGTTTCAGCTACGTATAGCTTGTAGTCAGAAGTCCTCAGACCGGAGACCCTGTTTCCGAGGACCAGGGCTCCTGAATGAGGACTATGTCGGCTCCACCCTTGGCCAGGTGGAGCAGTAGAGCAGCGCATGCTGCCTTACAATGGTGGAGGTTTATCTGCAGGAGCGTCAACGACTGTTGCTTCCAGATCGCTGTCAGGGGACTCCGGCTCCTCCCCGACAACGATGTGGCTGAGACCTCTGGCTAGGTCGCTCTCGTCGAACGCGTAGTCGTCCAAGATGTCGTCCGACATCACGGACGCCGCATCCGACGAGGGGTTGTCTACCTCGCACGAGGCCCCCTCTTTCGGGATCTCCGTCAGCTCCGGGTCTGGCTCGACCTCCGCTTGCCTGATCGGACTTGTAAGTGGATATGGTGACCTTCTTGTAGCCATAATCCACTACACCGTCCGACTTTGCGAGGAGATCAATGGATTCCTCATTTAGGACGAGGATAATCTGGCGCCTCTGCCCTTGGATATCCTCCACCTTTGCCACCTTCCAATCGGCTGTAGGAAGGTGGGGGTTGCAGACCTGCAGTAACCTGAGGATCTTCTCAGGCTCTGCAGGCTTAGCCGAGACCCGCTCTCGGGCGACTAGGGACATCTTCCCACTTCACGGCCTCCAGTTTCGCCCCTGGATAGACCTCTTTGAGGGCCGCCACCGCCTTCATGTAGAGGGCCGCAGAGCGAGCGTCTTGGCAGGCGATGGCTTTCACCTTGCCTTGATGCCACCCTGCGTCCTCACACTTTGGCGGTGGTCCGCCGTTCTCCTCCAGTTCCAGTAGGAACCGGTCCTGGAGCTCGTTCACCACCAGGTGCCACTTATCGCGAGGGACATTGCCGTCCTCGGCGCCCCTGTCCAGGACACCGATCAGGGTCTTGCCCCTCGCCACCTCAGCGATCGACCGGTTCGTGAGGTGGGTCTTCACCCGCTTGGCTTGCTGGGCTTGGCCTGGCTGATTCGCGGGGTCCTCCGCTGAGCGTTCCGCTTGTTGGGGGCCTTGGCTGCGCCCTTTCCGGCTTTGGCTGACTGGAACAGTGGAAGGATTGAGGAGGCCCACAGCCTCTGCTCCTTTCCTTCGGCTGACGCCCTGAAGTTCGGGTCTTCGTTGGACACTATGAAAGCCGCTCGTCTCCTGTCCTGGTACGACGGCTTTCCTCCCCGTGGTGAAGATACGCTGCCCGCCGGGGCTCCCATGGGTTCTTCGGTCCCGGTGCGCTTACCAGCCGCGATTACGCTCTGCTTGGCAGGAGTACCGAGCTCCTTTGCGGTTTTGTTGGTTTTTATATTTTTAGTATTTGGCATAGTAGTTCCCACGAGTAGGTGGGAAGGGGATGGTCACCCGAGGCATAGCCCGCTTGCCCCGGGAAGCCTGATTTAAACTGGAGGTCGGCAGGTATCCAGAATCCGCATATTAGCGATTGGGGTAATTTCACTGAGAGTTTTCTTCTCTCCGCCCGACTACCGCCCGACTACCAGCATCCTAGCAGAGACATGAACGTGCTAGGACCTGTTTCCAACCGCCCTCACGGGGAGAGTATAGTCGCACTTCCACCGGTGTGCACAGTTACGGCGGGTGACGGTTCGCTCGCAACCCTCTGTGTCCTAGGGGGGGTGTGAGACGCAGACCGCACCGGGTATTACTAACCCGCGCCTTTTGCGTTTCGCCTGCACTTGCAGAGGCGCTTCAGCATATAGTTATAAAGTAGCGGGTATTGCGCTTTCCGCTGATTCCACCACTTATCCATTTCCCTTATGGATGCTTGTTGGTGGGTTGGCTTATTTGCTAAAAAGTGGTGTCAAATTCAGCCCATATTGTGTCCTCTTCTTGTTTTGTGGTGCTTATAGCTTCTTGTGGAGGGTCAGGGAGTGACCGTATGTTTGAGCCAATTTTTTGTTGATATCCGCTACTGAATTTTTAAAGGCCTCCGCATTTTTAAAGACCTGGGATCCAGAACAGTGCTCTTCGCATACAAAATATTTGCCTCCAAATCGTTAAACCTGCCGTCCATCTCGTTTATGATTTCTTTGATTACTTCGGCAACTAGGTTTTTTTTAACTGTTGGATATATTTGAGCCATTTTTCTTTGAAGTAATCCAGTCAATGCAACTATTTTTGACAATTTTACAATTTTTCAGCTGAGATCTCTTCTGTAACCTCATAAAACGGCTTTAATACGGGAAGCACTCCATCAATGACATCCCAGTCTTCTGGTGACAAAATTAAGTCTGTCCTTGTTGACAGAGCTGCCACGACTGCCTCCTTCAGGATAGACAGCCGTTAAAAACATTCTGTACGTTGAGTTCCAATGTGTTGGCACATCCTGTGTTAGTTTGAGGTCAGCCAACTTAAGCAGCGCTTGCATATCTTTAAGGTTTTTATACCCGATACTCAAAATGAGTATTGGGGTATATTGGATTTGTGGTAAGAGTGGATGTGTGTAACGTCCAGAAGGAATCGTTTCCGACCCCATAAAGTATATATATTCTTGATCAGCATCAATAGCCGAGTCGATTGGGCGAAAATCTGTGGCATCCACAAAGATTCAAAGATACAAGAAAACTAAAAACGCAGAATCGTAGAGGATGGCTGTAACTTTTAGAGTGCAAAATCTGAACCAGATCGTATAATTATTAGAATCAAGAAAATAATTTTATTCTTTCTCGCTCTGTCTCTCTCTAACACACAGGTTTCATGGTCGGTTTTGCCAATTGCAAAATGTGAGTTCAAGGATCTCAGAACCTATAAGAGCTAGAGCAACCAAATTTGGTATTCACACTTCTGTTAGATCTCCCTATAAAACATATGTATTAACATATATCTCCAAAATTTGCACTCAAAAAACTAGCCCCAAGCAGTGCTTTTTTCAAAGTGGAATAGCCTATCGAATTTGCAAATTTTCAATCAAATTTGAAAACAATTTCAGGTTGTATTAGCTTAAAATGTAATTTGCATCTCTTCGGAATTTTTTATTTTATAAAAAATATATGAACTAGTTTGTTGTGCATTTCGTAATGGGAACTTTTTCCACATACTTTGGCAGCGGTTCAATGAAATGGTGATGGTGGAGGAGATGGTGAATGACAGTCGAACTGTTTCATCTTCATGACCCCCAGTCTGGGAGGCAAAAAGCACCTCTTGGTTCTGATCGGCTCGGCCACCTTTGTTGTTTGTCTCGGTTAATCCATATGGCAAAATTATGCAAAAACGAGGGGGAACGTTGTGAGTTGCTGCGGACACCGCAACTCTACGGTTATACCCGATACTAAGTCAGTATGGCTCTCCTCCGGCAGACGCCGCTAATATTTAACGACACGACAAAGAGTGCGTGCGAGAGAGACAGAAAATCAGTCTGAGCGTGACGTCGGGCGCTGCGTAGCCACTGCAAATTGATTTGTTCCTTTTGGCTATAAAAATGATCTGATCTGATCCAGATTCAGCAATCTAATAGATATGGTCATTATCTATGATTCTGCGTTTTTAGTTTTCTCAAATCTGCAATATTGTGGATGCAACAGATTTTCGTCCTTTGTGGGGGCGGAAGGGGGTGTGGCGAAATTTGGACATGAAACGGTCAAGGTCCGATATCACAGGAGTGTGGATACCAAATTTGGTTGCTCTGGCTTTTATAGGTTCTGAGATCCTTGAACTCATATTTTGCAATTGGCAAAACCGACCATGAAACCTGTGTGTTAGAGTGAGACAGAGCGAGAAAGAGTGAAATTGTTTTCGTGATTCTGGCTGTAATAATTATACGATCTGGTTCAGATTTTGCACTCTAGAAGATATAGTCATCTTCTACGATTCTGCGTTTTTAGTTTTCTTGTATCTTTGAATCTTTGTGGATGCCACAGATTTTCGCCCAATCGACTCGGCTATTGATGCTGATCAAGAATATATATACTTTATGGGGTCGGAAACGATTCCTTCTGGACGTTACACACATCCACTTTCACCACAAATCTAATATACCCCAATACTCATTTTGAGTATCGGGTATAAAAAATCCCATAACTAATTATCTGATTAAACTCTTAACTATTATATTTGATATTTGATGGCTGGGTAAAAAAGGTGTGGGCAACAGGCAAATCGGCCCCAAAATAACGAAACGCATGCCAGGTAAAATGATCCCTCTTGACCAATATACCTTGACGACTGAAGCTATAATACTTATTTTTTAAAGGAATATTTAAAAACAATACGTAATTTTTGAATTTTCGCTCTCTCAAGTCGTAGTTCCGCGCCACATTTATTCCACTGGATTGCATTAAAATCCTTGTCACTCATTCACTTTTAAACAATTTGACTTTGGCGCTCAAGTTTAGCGGAACTTCATCTCTTTTGTTTGAGATTTGCTCTGTATTTTGTGATGGGATATCCTCTCTTCGTGGAGGGATTTTTGCTCGCCACAATATCCCCTTTTAGCTCTACAATGTCCCTACATTCCATACTCATGTTGCTGGCAGCACGGATTGAGCAACATTTTGCATACCCTGGAGAAATGCATATTATGGAATGGAAAGAATGTTTGTCATATCAAGCTCCAATATATGCAGAAACTAGTCAGTCTCTCTAGAAAATTTGTTTATTAATCGGACAAAATTATGTGGGCATGGCTGAGGGTTCATTTAAGCTGGTAATATTCAACGGAATATCAAAAACGAGCAATTTGTATAATAGAACTTGAATTCGTCAGTATATTTACGGTATATTTTCCAAATGAGACGGTATATTTACGTATATTGCTGAGGGTCGGACGGTCACACTGGTCACTATTATTGAAATATTCTAGGCGTGCAAAAATAAATAAAATAGCAGAGAAACTATAAATGTGCGTACAGCTGGAAAGGATATGAATGACTGTATAAGGCCAGCCCGGGGACACGGCCATCGCAATGACGGAAAAGTCGGAGAATGCCTCGAATGTGGAGAGTTCTCAATTGGAACAGTCGGGGGAACAGTCTTCCCCCAGTGGTCCTTCTTCGCAGATCATGGTAAAATCCGAGAAGTTTGATGCCGAGGTTGAGGCCAAGCTGAGAGCCTTGAATGCGAAGAGTAAGTCGGAACAGAAGCAAAGGCATAGCCATGGCCAGCAGGATGACGACACGGAAGACGATGACGAAGACTGTGATGGCGATGGCTCCTCTGTGGATGATAAAAAGGCCATTGTGCCGGTGAAGTCGTCCAACGAAATACTCGCAGAACTCTTTGGCGTTTTCAATGCAGCACCTCCCGCGGAGCTGCTCGATGACAAAAATCTTCTCAAGCTCAAGCACAAAAAGGTCAAAAAGGAGAAGAAAAAAAAGAAGAAGACGTCCAAATCGGATGGCGAGTGTTCGGAATCGGATGCGGAAGGCAAGCATAAGCACAGGCGGAAAAAGCATAAGCATAAACACAAGGACACCAAGGAAAAGGATCGCGACAAGGCCAAGGAGAAGCAAGCTGCTGCTCATGCTCCTGTTGTTTCTGTGGTTTCTGCCTGTCTCAAGGAGAAAGAGAAACCTGAGACTAAGAAACGAGCCTCGGAGAGAAACAAGCATGCGGAAGTCCTGCAACCAAAGAGGGAGAAGCGGGAGCGAGAGCGTGACCGCAGCCACAATAGCTTCTATAATGGCTACAGGGATGGCGAACGAGCCAGCGAGAGGCCCAGCGAAAGACCTAGCAACAAGGCTCGTGAAATGTCCGATGTCTCGCTCTCCGACGAGGAATCATATCTCCGCGAGAAGGCCTCCAACGGACGCCGACGACCTCAGAACAGCTTCTACGATGTGAAAGAAGAGCCCAAGGAGGAGCTCCCCCAGCTGCACCACGGTAAGCGCAATGCTTGGGACTCCGGCACGAGGCGGCCACGTCGGTCACGGTCCCGGTCTCGATCCCGACCTCGAGATCTGGGCATTGACAAGAAGCGGCTTCTGGAGGTGGCGCGCAAGAATGCAATCCACATGTTCAAGCGGGGAAATCTGCCGGGAGTGGCCGATATGACGCCCGAGGTGAAGGACAAGGTCTTGATCAAGATGCGTTATGGGGGACGTACCGTCCAGGATCTGACGGACTTTTGCAAGAAGATCTCCAGCGGCGATGCGTTATCCGATCTCAGCTCCGACGAGGAGTCCGATACGGATAAGAATGGGAATGCCAAGGCCTTCCACCACCCCTTTCAGCTCAAAGAGCGGGAACCGATTGTGATGCACATCCGCAACTCGACGCCGATACTGCCGCGGAGGGAGGATCAAACCAAGGCCATAACCATGCAGTTTCCGGTGTCTTCTGGGCAGGAGCATCGCAAAACCGAGACCTGGGTGCCTGTGGGGCGTAAGGATTCGTTGACCCCACTACCATCGCTACCGCCTGCCAAACAATCTACGAATATCTTTCAGGACATACAGAAGAATGTGTTTGCCAAATCCATACCGCAATTGGAGAAGCAAGAGCCCGCCTTTAAGTCGATAGGTGCAACAGCATTGGAAGCGTCTACGTCTACGTCTACGTCTACACCTTCACCTGTGACCGGACCTGCACCCGTTCCCGCACCGGTTCCTCCGCCTCGTCCAGAGCCAGTTCCAGCTCCAGTAATTGCATTCACTCCCGCTCCGATACCGTTTGTGCCTGAGGTCCCCATACCATCTGCGACAACACCAGTGACGCCCAGCCGGTCAGCAGCGACGCAGCATCATTCGTCACACAGTGCTTCCATCTTCCCGGAGTCGGGGCCGCTCAGCATGGATGTGTCGAGTATAATTACCCAGCGACTTAGTGCCATCCGTCGACTACAGGTGAGTCTCCCTAGCAATGGCCTATAGCATCCCAATCTGAAGCCAATCTGAATCATTGCGCAGACAAATCCCACCGACTGCGAGGCCATCAAAATGATGCACAACGCACAGCGGGACATGTCCTCGTGGGCCTCCTCGAAGCATCTGCCTGGCCAATTCACTGGCAGCACGGGCGCCCATGTGATGAAGGCCCATGAGCTGAATAGCGGACCGCAGCTGTGGGTACGTCGGGATCAGCTGACCTCCACCAAGCCGGTGACGGGCGGCATGGGCATGGCACTGTTGCAGAAAATGGGCTGGAAGCCCGGCGAAGGACTGGGACGGTGCAAGACGGGGTCCCTGCAGCCGCTGCTGCTGGATGTGAAACTGGACAAACGCGGACTGGTGTCGCGCGAGGATATCAAACTGCAGCCCCCGCGCCCAGCGGCTGGGCAGCGTAAAAACAAGGATAGGGGCTGCGGCGGCGTCGGTGGCGGCCCTTCTGGCCAAGGGGTGGCACCCATGGTAGTAACGGTGGACAAGCATCCCGTGTGTGTGCTGAATGAGCTGACATCGAAGAACCGGTGGACGCCGCCGCAGTATATCCTGCAGCAGGAATCAGGCCCGTCGCACATACGCAGTTTCCTCTTCTCCGTGGAGATCAATGGGCAATCGTACACGCCCGACCGGCCGTGCAACAACAAGAAGGAGGCCAAGCTGAACGCGGCCAAATTGTGCTTGGAAAGTTTGGGCATCTTGCAGCCCAGTTAGGGGCGTAATCTATGATGTTAAGGATAAGGAAAAAGTCAGGATATATTCTGTAAAGTTTACATGTAAATACGTATAAAATTAGTTTTAAATCTGAACCGTAAGCATTTTCGCGAAGCTTTCCATCTGGCAAAAGCTTGCAATGTTTGCAGGAAAGCTTTTAGAGAGAAAAAAGAGAGCCGCTCTCTTAACAGTACAGTGGCATGGGAACGGCAAGAATGGGAGAGTTTGAACAACTAAACGGCTTACGCTCAGCTCAAACTGCTTTTGGTCCACGGTGCAACTCTCGGCTTGCCATTTGCGAAAGAGCTTTGATTGCTGCTAACGGGGCTAAGGCGCAGGCCAAACAAACAGCTGACGCGAAGGCCCTGCTGCAGAGGGGCGGGCGTGGGAGTGGGTATATTTGCAATCCATTAAATCTCTCGACACGACACTCCCAAGCAAAAGCAGCTTAGCCCAAACATTGAAGGTCAGTTCACGCGGGAGTGCGCTCCAAACAACTTCGTCGGATCGGATGGCAGCAGTAGACACAGGCGCAGGACAGGATATGGTCAATGGGCTGTTGTTGTTGCCATTGTTATTGTTGTCACCCCGCTGTCGCCCAGATACAGACACAAAACTTTTCTGAGTGCCCTAGTCCAGGTCCCAGCATCCATTCCATGCGAAATTATTGCTGCTGAAAAGTGTGTGCATGTTGTACTACAGATGTTTCTTGCGTCCCACTGCATGGCCACAGAACTGGACGGGAATTCGGCTTTGGATTTGGCACAAACAAACAGCGACGACAATTGTCGGGTGGTGATGCGGGAGCGGGAGCGGCGGCGGCGGCAGTGAAACGTAGTTTTTAGAGTTGCATAATTACACGTACACGCACACGCACACACCCATGCCCCATGCCCCATGCACCATACCCATACCAATACGCATACCTGCCACTGCCACTGGCCATGGAACTGTTGGGCGTTGTTGCGGTTTGATGTGGCGCTCCTCCATGCATTTCGCTTGCTGCTGCAGCCATGGAAACTTGTCGTACCTGTGCGATTTCCATGTTTGTTTGCCATGGCAGCAACAATTTTCTGGACCTATTCCATCCCACCTGCTGGCAGAGTGAAATGGCCCAGATACGACTGGAGTTTGTCCACTGGAATCTGAAGGTACGTACCCAACGTATGGATGGTCGGTCTGTCGTGGAGTTGGCAACTGAAAATTACTTATTTTCCACCAAAGTGAAAGTCTGTGTGGTGTGTGGCAATGCAGCGAAAACTGCATTGAGTTGAGCTTTGGCTTGAGATCTGATTTCGCTTACTCAGGGGTCTTTGAACTTGATAAGGGTTTTCGTTATGTCTATCAAACCGCAAGTCAACTTATACTATAGATGTTTATAGATCTATAGATGTCTGTCTGTTTCTATTGAATCTAAAGTATGGCACTTGTCTGTAATTAGAAATTTGTAATTTTTATGTCAATAGTCAAAAGTCGAGCAAGCGTTTATTATATGTTGGTTGAGACTCAATTAATAGGAACACAATCTACTGCAGACCCGTTTAAACAGGGCCTTAAGCTTCGAGTTTTCCCCCTTATATTGTAATACAATTGCAGATTTCTCCCAACGATGGATTGCCACAGAAAATATGCAGCGACTGTTTTACCAAGTTCTGCTCCATTTACACATTTCGACTGGGCTGCCAGGAAGCGCAGTTGAAGTTGTCGAACATTTATGACAAAATCGATGCCAGCAGCTTGGAGGATGAATGCCACGAAGAGGAAGGGGAACATGAAGATGCGGAAGCTGTGCCAGAAACAACAATTATAGGAGCAACAACAACAACAACAACAACAACGACGGTTTCAATCGAAACACAACCAAACACTGCCACTGCCCCCCCAATAGAGTTTTTTGTGAAAACCATAGGCCACACCGAAGTGAGTAACGATAACGACTCACAGCCACTATACCAGGATGAGGATGATGATGATGCCACTCAGGAACTGACCATTAGCTTTGCCTGTAAGTTCTGCTTTAGGCCGCAGGAGAGCTACCAGCTGCAGCAGCTGCTGCTGGAGCACATAAATGCCAGCCACGATCCAGAGCAGCCGTACAACTGTCCGGAGTGCGAGGAGTGCTTCCAGGATGCTGCCTCCCGGACAGTGCACCTCAAGAGCAGTCATGTGGAGAAGCAGTTCAAGTGCGAGGTGTGCGGCAAGCAGTACAGCGATCGGCACAACCTCCGCCATCACATCGAGAAGTATCACTCGGAGACGGACTTTGAGTGCACCATGTGCGAGAAGCGCTTCTTTACGCGCAAAAGCCTCAACTATCACATGAAGTGGCACAATCCGGAGCGTCAGCTCAAGTGCCGGCAGAGCGGCTGCGAGCGTTTGTTCATCAATCAGCGGCATCTCAAATGCCATGAGGCCACCCATACGGGCGCCAGTGCCAGGAAGAGCGAGCACTGTGGCTTCTGTGGTAAAAGTATGTATCTGCCAATACGGATCTGACAGTGATAGATCTACTAAATAGAGCCCTTTCCATAGCTTTCATACACCTAAAGACACTACGATGGCATATCTATAGACAGCATGGCGGGGAAAAGCCCTACAAATGCGCCAACTGCACGGAGGGTAAGTGGAGAGAGAGAGAGAGCCAATCAGGAGCGCAGGATAGAGCCCTGAATAGCCTGATTGGATCTAAAGATGCAATCAGGTTGAGGGATCAGGAAACATAAACATAAACATTAACATTAATCATAACAATTTGTCGCATCATCGAACACTCTCACATTGAAACCAGCGCCTAAGATCATAGAACTGTGGCCCAGCCAGAGCCAGTCCTCAGCTGCCTCTTATATCGTACATAGAGTGTGTCTGTTAGTCAAGTCTGAAGCAACGGTAAACATAATGGCTATAGCAGCTCTTTTTGTATACCTTTTTTTAGCCAAAAAGCATGCCCTCGAAAATTAACAAAACGTTTTGTACTTTGCCATAATCTTAGCCCACATCATTAGAGTTTTTGAACCACAAAATAAATCAACCCAACCCAAGTCCAACCACCAAGTACGTACCCCCTTGGAGAGCAGCATGCATCGTACATCTATTTCATGACACCCAATCACTAACCGACTAGTTACCATCCGAAACCTGTGCCTGTGCCCTATTAACAGTCCTCCTCTGCCATCCCCCCTGCATAGTGTTCGCCTCGTACGCGGAGAAAAGGATCCATATGCTGGAGCGGCACAGGGAGAACCTAACGCCCATTGAACGCAGCGAATGCATGTTGTGCCGCCAGCCCTTTGGCAGCGAGCAGGAGCTCATACATCACATGTCCGTGGATCACTTGCAGCGTGCGGCCAGTGCACCAGTGATTGCCAACAATAAGCGTGTCCTGCAGCAGAAGCGAGAGCGTCAGTATTCGGGACTCTTTCAATGCGACAGCTGCACCCAGAGATTCAACATGAAGTCGGCCCTGGATCGCCATGCCGCTGTCCATTCGGAGAAGGACAGGCCGCATGCCTGTCTGCACTGCTCAAAGCGTTTCAAACGGGCCCAGGACCTGAAGTGGCACATCAAGACGCACGAGAAGGAGAAGCCCAATGTTTGTGACGTGTGTGGCAAGGCCTTTGCCTTGAAGTATGTCCTTACACAGCATCGGCTAAGTCATGAAGGTGGGTAAATGATTCCCCTGTAATTGCAGAATTCCAATCAGTGTGTTCTCTTTTCTCTGCCAGTTTTGGAGAAGAACTTTAAGTGCAACGTTTGCGGTCGGGCCTATCTGTTTGAAAAGAGCCTGCGGCTGCATCAACGCATCCACACGGGCAACACCTACTACAAATGCGATCTGTGCCAGGAACGCTTCGTGACGCACATTAAACTGAAAAGTATTTGAAAGATCATATCATAATCGAAGGGACTGGACTGGTACTAAAAGTGTGATTATTGTGTTTCAGCTCATATGCAGAAAATGCATGCACACGCATCTGAGACGCCTTCACCGGACTCCCTGGATGATTTGATAAAGATTGTGATTTCCTAAACAGAACAAGATAGCAAAAGAAAGCCCCTACTGTACTTTTGTAGCCAAGCGCAAATAGAGAGAGAGAGACAGAGAGCGTAGCTCTCACTAACTCCTACTAAACTGACAAACTACCAAAACCAAACTACTAAAACCATACCCTCCATTCAACCTTATCATTAGACCATATGCGGCCGCAGGAACGCACCAGGGCTGAAAGCTTTATACTCTCTAGGCAAATGATTCACTCTCTATCATATACATATATCTTCTACTATATCTTTCTTCCTCCATCATCGTATTCCCCTGAATACCGCGAGTGCTGTCCATCTATATATTCACACACCTGCAGCACATAGAAACACACGACCATTGACGACCATTTAGCGATAAGCAATATTTAAAAAGAACTTCAAGCTACACGGCAACCACTTAATGCTCAATGCATTTGCATTTATTTCAAAAACCAAAAAATATTTACAATATCTACCGAAAGAGTATAAGTCGTATTTAAAATATCAATGTACTATGAATTTTACTATGTGTAGTTCCAGATATATTTACCAAATTCGTGCTCTATAAAAACATCAATTTGAAAAGATGAAGTAGTTTTTTTTTAATTTGTTGGTAATTTTGGTTGTTCGATGATTTGTTCGTTGTGCTGGACAACATAAGTCAATGGGATGCTCCTCTAATTTGTTGGCAAAGGTGAACGCCGTCAGGGAGTTCCCAAAGATTTGGAGGAGGAGTACGGCGTTATGGACAGAGGTGAATACCGTGGATCGGCGCTAAATCTTGAGTTCTACCATTAAAGGTTGATATTGTAAACAGCAATGCAAAATTTCCATCGCTGCATAATTTTCAAGAACGTTCCGATGTATTCGAGCGGAATTGCATCCGGTTTTTACATTAGTCTACCGCAACTAAACTTTTTTTAGGCCCTGTATCTTCTCGCTACCAATTAACAAAAAAAAACCTGCCTATCCTGCATAAATACGAGTATGTTCCTTTAATTTAATTAATTAAATATTCAGAAAATCCAAAAAAAACAACTGAGTTGCAATCCGAAATCCGCGAAAAATACGTTATGTATGT